TTACCCCGAGCTACACTCGGGAATACCTCCAGGGGGGTTAAAGCAGAGACCCTTGCGAATAAAATAGAGATAGTTCCAATTTATGTCACATAATATTTGCGCAGTGGTTTTTTTCAAGCGCAAATTTTTAGTAAAAAATGACACTAAGTCCTCATGCACACGGGACGTTTTTACAGCGGCTGTTTTTGGCTTTTGATGTTTTTTTCCACAACTAGTAAACCCCCCAGCATGTTATCCTATGTGTCCATGCACACATAGACTGAAATCAGCGTTTTTTTGGCTGCAAAAAAAAAAAAAACCCAGGACTAGTGTGTTTCTACAGGACTTTTTTAGCTGTAATGTTGAAAAAATGCGGTAAAACGCCGCAGACTGGCGGTTTTTGGAATTTTTTTTACCAAAAGACGCAGCTAAACGCTAATGCAAAAACACTAAAAAACGTGACTTTACACAGCTAACGTTACCAGCGTTATCAAAACGTCCCGTGTGCATGAGGACTACAGTTCATTTTAGGGCACACAAACTCCATATGTTTCCCAAGGCTTTGGTAAAATATAAAAGTTGAAGTTGCGCCAGGTAAATAGATCCCCAACTTGAGAAGATTTAACACTGAGCATGTCGGACTACAAAGATGAACTTTGCTACCCTGTATTTTTTCCTAGGCGACACAATAAAAGCCCCTCCAGATCATCAGGTTAGAATGAACTATGTATAACAGCCCAAAAATGATTGCTGTCACTGTGGCATGTGCAGCAATACATAACAGGTGTAGCACAAGCAACGTTGTCATGCATTGGCGCCCCGATCGGTGTGTTTGTGTTGGTGTGTACATAGGTGCTGGGCTGGCCTTTTGGGGGGTTTAACCACTTCCAGTCCGGACACTTTTACCCCCTTCCTGTCCAGGGCAATTTTCAGCTTTCAGCGCTATCACACTTTGAATGACAATTGCGCGGTCATGCAACACTGTACCCACATGACATTTTTAACATTTTTTTGAGACAGATAAAACTTTATTTTGGTGGTATTTATTCACCACTGGAATTTTAAATTTTTTTTTTTTGCTATATAAATGAAAATGTCCAAAAAGTTTGAAAAAAAAGTGTTTTCCTATAAAATTTTGCAAATAAATACTCTTTCTTCATAAATCTTGGCCAAAATGTATTCAGTTATCTTTTTAGTGAAAAAAAATAACCCAAATTAGTTTATAACCAAAAATTATAATTTTTACATTTTTTTTTATATTATTATATTATTTGTTTTTTTTAATATATACTGTCACCCTAGCGGTACAGTGTCACCATAGTGACACTGTACTACTTGTGGGCGGTGATGAAGATTTTTTTTTTACACTGATTGCTTTTACACCCATAAAGGCTATAAAAGCAATCATTTCTCCTCTCTGGCTGCATTCCTGCAGCCATTGAGAAATACCGTGCGAGTTGTGATTGGTCACAGCTTGTCACATGGTACAAGGTTGTGATCATTCACAGATTTCACAAGTAGTAAGCAATGATGTCAGGAAGTGACATCTTGCTTACTACTGTTCATGTGATCACTGATTGGCCAATCAGTGATCACATGATCGGGACCTCACACAAAGGTCTGGTACAGCGACCGGTGTTCCGCTGTGTCCTCCGGACACAGTGGGTACCTGTTCGCGCTGCTGCGTGTTCCCAGGGAGCGCGCACAGGCTAAAAAGGCGGGCGCCATTTGTGAACGGCAACCCTCTCCTGCACTGCCCCCGTCTGGCCGTTTATATACAGTGACCTTGCTACCACACTACTGAGCATGAGTGACCCGTCCCCCACTGAAGACCAATGCCACCCACTACCACCACTGATCACCACTGCCCAACCCTGACACTCTACTGAGGACTACTGACCTTGCTACCACTACTGAGCATGAGTGCCTTCCCTGACCGCCCACTGAATGCTAATGCACCCACTACTACCCCTGAATACCAGTTCCCACCCTTCACCCCCCATTGAGGACCAATGCTCTGGCTACCACAACGGTGCCCACGCCTGACCCCCCACTAAAGACCAATGCCCCCCCCCCCCACTACCACCCCAGAGCATCATCACTACCCCCTTTGCTCGTCACTTAGTACCAATCCCCCCCCCTCCCCCCCCCCAAGCAAATACCAATTTGTTTCTCCCACTGATGAGACATTTTCCTGCCCTCTGAACACTGACAGCAGCACTGATCACCAACACTGGGGACATTTGTTCTCCCACTGACAAATAGATTTTTTCAAACCATTCACCACAGATGGCGGCCATTTTTTCCTCCTGGTAACTGGAGGCCAAACAGTTTTTCCATCACTGACCACAGACCCAAGATATTTTTCCTCCACAGACCAGCAGTATACTAGACACTATGACATACCCTCCCTGTACTCTATGAGGGGAATTTGGAGGAGCTGTGCATGCAATCAGCTTATAGCTTTCACTTTCAAAGCTTTACTGAACAAGCTGAATGTAGAAGCTGATTGGTTATCAGGCACTGCTGCTCTAGATTCTGTCTGCTCCCATCTTAGTAAATCCCCCATATGTTGTATTTTGCATTAAAATATATGTAAACCCTCACCTTGTAAAACAACCTATTCCGATTAAAATAGAAATGTAAAGCAAAATATTTGTGTATAGATATAAAAAACAAAAAACAAAATCCTTTTTCTTTTTTATAAGTGATCACATTCCCTCAGTTCTCAGCTGTATAACAAGCTTAGAAAGCTGGGGGAGGAGAAACAGCAGGATACTGATCTTCCCAGTGAATGCCTGCGTGAGGTGGGGAGGACAAGCCTGATCATTGAAGTTCCCTGAACAGCTAGAGAACTGGCCATACTGTGTTCTCCTGCTTAGTGTGGTCAGTTTATAATAGGAAACCAGAGGGGCTGGCAGGAACACCAGGGATTTCACACAAAGGAAGCAATACACACAGAACAGGATACTTTTTCATACAAGTACATGTGTGTCAGGCACATATTAGGAATTTAAAATGTTGACATTCTTTATATTGTGATCACTGCTGTACTCTGTATATTGTGGTGTATTTCAGTAATGCTGACCGCTCTGCATTCCATGTCGTGACCAAAGCGTTTATTGTCTCACACGTTGCTGGATGCTAAGTTGTTTCTGACTATTTTTATGAAGGTTTTCTCTAAGGTCGGCTCAGACAAAGTAATAGCTTTCTCTCTATAGTCTCTTTTATTTTTTCAAAATGATTCTTTCGGTTGATTCGTGTCTTTGAGTGTTTGTGAAGCTCTCAATTGTGGGACAATAATTGAGAATTTTGTGGGGACAAGCATTGTGCCCGGGGGCTTTTTTTCTCATAGAATAGGTGCAGGAAGTCTCCCTTTCTGAGTCACCTCCTGTCTCTGTCCCACACTGTCCCTGCGTTCCACCCCTTACCTACCTACCAGTATCGTCCTCTTTGAGAATACAAAACCAAGTATCAATTTGTATGGAATTTGAAATGTTAACAAGCAAAGCAGTAAAATAAACCCCCTGCAACCAGCAACAATGGACCACCTGCAACAAAATACCCCTCCTCCAGCAACAATAGTCCCCAACAGCATCAACAGATCTCCCCACAGCTAGCATCAATAGATCTTCCAGCAGCTAGCAACCATAGACCCCCTCCCTCAACAGTAGATCCTTTCCAGCAATAAATGACCCCACAGCAACATAAGACACCCCTCAGCAACAATAGATCCCCCACTATCAACAGTAGACCTCCTCAGCATCAATATACACCCCCATACACAAAAATAGATCTCCTCCAACAACAATAGATCCTCCAGCAGCCAGCATCAATGGACCCTGCAGTACACCCCACCACCCCTTGCCATTACGTACATTCAGTGCTGGTGGTGCCGGAACTACGTTCCCCTGAGTTCTCGCTGAAAAAAAAGCCCTGGTGGTGCCCATCCACACAAGAGCATAGTGTTGCTTGAAGCTCAATGCTGGAAAAAAAGTACATAAGTTTCTTTAGAGGCAGAGTTGCAGGTTTTAGCCACAGTAGTAGACTTGGTTTTCCGGATTGGATGGCAGTTGACAGGTGGCCATCTGTCACCTCCTGCAAGCCCGCACCAAAATACCACAACAGCATTCATTACATGCAGTCGCAGGGTGGTTGTGGCGTGGCCCAATGGCCCAATTTACTTGAATAAGTCACCTTTGGATTTGGTTCTACTGACCGAACGACAGGAGGTGTCATTTTTTATGTACAATCCCATCTGGCTGCAGTTGTAGCTTAAGGTCGGTGAAAGTGAAAGCTGCAGCTCTACTGCCATCACTTACTGACTTTCCCAGCCGCCTGCCTGAACGAGCCTTAACCACTTCCAGTCCGGGCACTTTTACCCCCTTCCTGACCAGGGCAATTTTCAGCTTTTAGCGCTATCACAATTTGAATGACAATTGCGCAGTCATGCAACACTGTACCCAAATGATTTTTTTAACATTATTTTGAGACAGATATAGCTTTATTTTGCTGGTATTTATTCAGTGGGATTTGCCCCCTTGTGCTGTTTTTTGTTTCAGTGAACTTGTTTGTTTTTTTTTGTAGCCAAAAATGAAGAGTCAAAAATTTTGCAAAAAAAAAAAACTTTTTTTTTATAAAATTTTGCAAATAGAATAAATTTTGGCTAAGATTTATGATGAAATATTATTTGTTATCTTTTTCAGTAAAAAAAAAAATCCAAATTAGTTTATAACCAAAAATTATAATTTTTAAACATTTTTTTTACCTCTGTTTTTATTTTATTTTTTAATATTATTTTTTATTTTTACATACTGTCACCCTAGCAGTACAGTGTCACACATGGTGACACTGTACTACTTGTGGGGTATGATGAAGACTTTTTTTTTTTTTTTTTTTACACTGATTGCTTTTACACCCATATAGGATGTAAAAGCAAATCATTTCTCTTTCTCTCTGTCTGCATTCTTGCACTCATTGAGAAGTACTGAGTGAGCAGTGTGATTGTCACAGCTTGTCACATGGTACAAGGCTTTTGTGAATGGCCTTGTACCATGTGACCTCTGTGATCATTCACAGATTTCACACGTAGTAAGCAATGATGTCACAAGTGACATCTTGCTTACTACCATGGATCATGGCCAATTAGTGATCACATTTCATGATTTGTTTCACAGAAACAGGGGACACTTTGCTTACTACTTGTGCTGTGATCACTGTTCAATTAGTGAAACGTTGATCGGAGCTCCTGTACAGAGGTCAGTGGAATTTTGCCCCCTGTGTGCTGGAGCAGGGTGTGGGGCCGTTTTATATTTGGCCACCATGACCCTGCACTGCCACTGTCCGGCATTTTATATGCAACGGCCAGGGTCGGGAAATTACCAGTGGTTAATAACTGTTGCCCCCTTGTGCTGGTGATCAGTGGAACTTTGCCCCCTTGTGCTGGTGGTCAGTTTACTTTGCCCCCTTGTGCTGGTGGGTCAGTGGTACTTTGCCCCCTTGTGCTGTGGTCAGTGTACTTTGCTGTGTGGTGGTCAGTGGCATTTTTTGCCCCCTTGTGCTGGTGGTCAGTGGCACTTTGCCCCCTGCTGTGTCAGTGGAAATTTGCCCCCTTGTGCTGGTGGTCAGTGGAAGCTCTATTATTGTGTTTTTCTTTTAAGACAAAAGTTGTTAATGTATGGGTTGTTTTTTTCTAAACGGAAACCTCAGTATTCAGGTTTAATTGCAGTGTTGGCACTTTGCGATAAATAAGTGGGTTTTGGGTTGCAGATTGGGCACTTGGTCTCTAAAAGGTTCCCCATCACTGGTATATAAGATTCATATCTGGCAGTGTGTGGTCAGCCAGCTAGCTTGGAGTGGAGTCTCCCTCTAGTGGTGGCCAGAGGTAGTGCAGGCTGAGAAAGGGTATCACGGTCAGTCTTATATGCTCAATGTAAGTCCCCCTCATTCCCTCATTACCCCAAGTCATTGACCACTTTGTTATAATCCCACTAACAGTTGATGTGGAATATTTAGTAGCCAGGAAATGTCACGGATGGACTTATTGCACAGGTGACAACCTATCACGGGACCACGCTTGGAGTCACTGAGCTCCTGAGAGCGACCCATTCTTTCACAAATGTTTGTAGAAGCAGTCTGCATGCCTAGGGGCTTGATTGTATACACCTGTGGCCATGGAGGGGATTGGAACACCTGAATCCAATGATTTGGAGGGGGGGCCCAATACTTTTGGCAATATAGTACTTTGTCCTTATGAGGCTAAATTGTTCAGCTAGAGCCAAACAAATGATTTGATGCCAAAACGATGTGACTGCAGCTTAGCCTGTAATATACTTTAGTTGCTTCAAGTGGTTTATTTACTAAAGCTGGAGAGTGCAAAATCAGACTCCCTTCTAATAGATGACAGATATAATAATATGCTTTCAGACAGCATGATCTCACAATCTTCTCCCAGCATCCTATACATCAGGGGTCTCCAAACCTTCTAAACAAGGGGCCAGTTTACTATCCTTCAGACTTTAGGGGGGGCTGGACTGTGGCTAGGGAGTAGAAAATGTCCTGGTGTCAGAGGGAATAAACAATGCCACATCTTCAGAGGGAGGTATAGTGCCTCATCATTTTTGTCAGAGGGAGGAATAAGTGCCCCATTGTTGGTGTTAGTGGGAGGAAAAGTGCCCCATCACTTGCCCTCACTGGTGTCAGTGGGAGGAATTGTGCCCAGGGGCGGACTGACAACTCATGGGGCCCCCGGGCAATAGGGGATCATGGGGCCCCTGTGTCCTTGCCCAAACTCAAAAAAGCCTATGAAAAAGGTACCAGGGGCATCTCATGGGGCCCCCTACTGACCCCTGGCCCCCAGGCCCGAGTTTCCAAATGGTAGTGCCCTGAGTGCCCCAACTGGTGTCAGTCAGTCCGCCCCTGATCGTGCCCCATCACTGGTGTCAGTGAGAGGAGTAGTGCCCCATCATTGGCGTCAGTGGCAGGAATAGTACCCCATTGTTGGTGTTAGTGTGAGCAAAAAGTGTTCCATCACTGGTGTTATAGGAAGAATAGTGCCCCTTCGTTGTGTCAGTGGCAGGAATTATTCTTCTATTGGTGGTGTCAGTGGTGTCAGTGGGTTAGGGGGAGGAATAGTGCCCCATCATAGTGCCTCATCATTGGTGTTAGGGGGAGGAATAGTGCCCCATTGTTAGGGGGAGGAATAGTGTCATTGTTGGTGTCAGTAAGAATTATACCCCCATTGTTGGTGTCAGAAAAATGAATAGTGCCCCAAGGGCCGGATAAAGACATGCAAAGGGCCACATCCAGCCCCTGGGCTGCAGTTTGGAGACCACTGCTTTACATCATTGTACTGAACATGGAGGGTGGCACGGATGGCATTAAAAACTATCAGGGGTTCTAACCCCTCCCTGCTCTATCCAATATGAGAAAAACACATTTGCCTGTAGTTACACTTTACATGTCACAAATGACATTTCATTCTTTACTATGTGAGCGGCAGTGACATGAGGTGGGGTGTCTTCAATGTGTCCCAGCGCTGAACTGTGCTGATCTGTACAGATGAATGGAAGACACCCCACATGGTATGAATGGGGGGGGGGGGGGGAGAGCGAGGGATGGGCAGAGTTGGGGGGTCACCCAGAAGAAGACGGGTGACGGGGAGCAGAAATGTGAGGGTGCCATGACTTCTGGGTGGGGGACCTGAGATCCGACTAGTCAGATATGGGGGATCAGTATGGGGGGAGGAATGCTCATACATAGAGGTGCAGCAGGTGCCCATAGAGTAAAACATTTCTCTTCACACCATGGAAATGCTTCCCGGATGCGTTTCTGTGTGCGTGTTTTTGATGCATTTTTAATGCTTTTTTATGTATTCCTGTTCATCCCCCCCCCCCCCCTCTCTTTTTCTTCAACTTAAAGTGGAGTTCCACTCACCTGTCAAAAAATAAAAGTCAGCAGCTACAAAACCTGCAGCTGCTGACTTTTAAAAAACAGCCACTTACCTGTCCCTCGGTCCCGTGGTGTGTCCCCCGCAGCCCGTTTCACCAGCCATCCTGTATTCCAGGAGGCCGGCATCTTCAGTGTGGGCATCAGGCTGTTATATCTTGCGGCTTCACAGCCGGGTACCCACTGAGCATGTGCGAGTAGTGCTGCGCTTCATGAATGGTCCTGTAGTCTTCTGGGACCTGTCACGTGTCGTAAAAGACTACAGGAGGGAGGGAGGACACCTTCTGTTTTCGATCGCCTAGGCGATCGGACCGGAAGTGGGAGCGGGTACCTGTCAAATTCGGGTACCCGCTCCCCAAAGGTGCCAATCCTTAATGGGGAGCGGGGGTGCAGTCCTTAAAGTGGAGCTACCCCTTTTGGGTGGAGCTCCACTTTAAATAAGGACACATGCATTCCAGTGCATTTGTGGTGTGTTTTACTGCGTTCCAGTACAGTTCAGTGCAGAAAAAAATGCAGCACGTACTTTTTTTTCTGTAACTGGAACGCTCTGGAACTGACCACACTGGTGTGAACTATGACATTGGAAACAATGTAACTTACTATCAATGCATTTTTGATGCAGAAACAATTGAGTACTGTCCGTGATACTTTTTTTATTTGCACTAACAATTTTGAGGACAAGCTTTCAGGGAGTGACCCCTTCTTCAGGGACTGCATGTGGTGTGAACTGACCTTTAGAATGACTATTCCTATTGGTACATCCATGGAGGACAACTGTCACCTGAACCAGCATCCCTCCTTCTGTACACACTCAGTGCTGAGCCTCCATGATCACATGGCACTCGGGCCTCAACAGCAGCCCCCCTGGTCACATAGGGAGGTGCACTTTCTGCTCTTTGCATCCTTTCCGCTATGGAGATTTGCATCACTTCCTGTGCTGGATTCAGCTGTCAAAATAAATATTATCTAGAGCAGTGGTTCTTAACCTTTTTGGAGGTACTGAACCCCACGAGTTTCATATGCGCATTCACCGAACCCTTCTTAATTGGAAAAATAAAATATGATTTTTAAAATTCAAAACATAGGTATATATTTATACATAGGTGCACAAAATGAACAAAACCATTAAGAACAAAGAACAAAACCATTAAAACATGATTTTCACACAAAAACAAAATAATGAATATTTTACCGCAAATCAGTGTGACTTCTGCTGTTGTCTTTCAGAGGCCAGTTCAGAAATGCACGGCATTACCTTGGCAAGTGCCACTCTCATGTCATTTTCGCAACAAAGTCTGTTCCTTTTCTTCGTCTTTATGTCCAGCATCCTCGAAAAGGATTGCTCGCAAAGATATGTTGTAACAAACGGTATGAAAATTCATCCCCCATAGTAATTCATCCCCCATATAGTAATTCATCCCCCATAGTAATTCATCCTCCATATAGTAATTCATCCCCCATAGTAATTCATCCCTCATAGTAATTCATCCCCCATATAGTAATTCATCCCCCATATAGTAATTCATCCCCCATAGTAATTCATCCCCCATATAGTAATTCATCCCCCCTATAGTAATTCCTTCCCCCTATAGTAATTCCTTCCCCATATAGTAATTCATCCCCCATATAGTAATTCATCCCCCATAGTAATTCATCCCCCCATAGTAATTCATCCCCCATATAGTAATTCATCCCCCATAGTAATACATCCCCCATATAGTAATTCATCCCCCATATAGTAATACATCCCCCATATAGTAATACATCCCCCATATAGTAATACATCCCCCATATAGTAATTCATCCCCCATATAGTAATTCATCCCCCATATAGTAATTCATTCCCCATATTAATTCATCCCCCCCATATTAAGTCCCCAAGTCCCCCCTGTGTCAATTCACTTACCTTTGCTCCGCGCGTTCCTCTCGCTGTATTCCCGCGCCGTTCCGGTCTTCAGGGCGGACTGTGAGAGGAGCCTAGCTCCTCTCACGTTCGTCACGCTGCCCCGCCTACACACATCCTGACAGCCAATCACTGGCTATCAGGATGTGAGTGGCAGCGAGACTGGCCAATCATTGCATTTGAGTCCCTGCCGCCCGAGAGGAGGGAGGGGAGCGGGCGCCCGGCACACAAGAGCCGCGGCTTGCCGACCACTGGGCATGTCATCACAAATCATATGAGTCGGGTGTGGGTCACCTCCGCCGAACCCCCGAGACTGACTCACCGAACC